CGCGTCCACAGCACCGCGGACCGCTGCGCGCACCAGCAGCGCGAGGCCCACGGCCGCGCAAGCCCCTCTAGCCGCGCGCAGGCCAGCCATCCCGAGTCGGAAGCCCGAGGCGGAGGAGCGGCATGCGATCGCTTGAGCCAAAATGGCTACGGAGCGCCACTGGGACATTGGGTGGAGCTCCCTATGGGGCCACGAAGCGCCGTACTGGGTGTGGCGATCGCACATGGCCACCCCCACTGGGGCTTTGGGTGGAGCTCCCGATGGGGCCATGAAGCGCTGTGCTGGGTGTGACGGACGCATGTGGCCACCCTCACTGGGAGGGGGGGCAGCGGGAGGAGGAGACGCAAGGACCGTCTCTTCAAAACGAGGACCCAACACCACAGGATGGTTTGCAACAACTGAACATACTTGGAGGTCAGGAAGAGCCTAAAGCGCATCGGATCAATAGGAGGTTGAGTAGCTGTACTGGGTGTGGCGGACGCATGTGGCCACCCCCACTGGGGCCTTCGGTCGAGCTCCCCATGGGGCCACGAAACGCTGTACTGGGTGTGGCGGACCGATGTGGCCACCCCCACTGGGGCCTGAGGCGGGGCCCCCTATGGGGCCACGAAGCGGTGTATTGGGTGTGGCGGACGCGTGTAGCCCCCCACACTGGGACATTGGGTGGAGCTCCCTATGGGGCCACGAAGCGCCGTACTGGGTGTGGCGATCGCACATGGCCACCCCCACTGGGGCTGTGGGTGGAGCTCCCTATGGGGCCACGAAGCGCTGTGCTGGGTGTGACGGACGCATGTGGCCACCCTGACTGGGAGGGGGGGCAGCGGGAGGAGGAGACGCGGGGACCGTCTCCTGAAAACGAGGACCCAACACCACAGGATGGTTTGTCACAGCTAAGCATACTTGGAGGTCAGGAAGAGCCTAAAGCGGATCGGATCAATATGAGGTTGAGTAGCTGTACTGGGTGTGGCGGACGCATGTGGCCACCCCCACTGGGGCCTTCGGTCGAGCTCCCTATGGGGCCACGAAGCGCTGCACTGGGTGTGGCGGACGCATGTGGCCACCCCCACTGGGGCCTGAGGCGAGGCCCCCTATGGGGCAACGAAACGGGTGCATTGGGCGCGGCGGACGCATGTCGCCCCCCCCCCCCCCCCCACACACACACACTGGGACATTGGGCGGGGCCCCCATGGGGCCACGAAGCGCCGCACTGGGTGTGGCGGACGCATGTGGCCGCCCCCATTGGGACATTGGGTGGGGCTCCCTATGGGGCCACGGAGCGCCGTACTGGGTGTGGCGGACGCATGCAGCCGCCCCCACTGAGGCCTCGGGTGGAACTCCCCATGGGGCTACGAAGCGCTGTATTGGGTGTGGCGGACGCATGTGGCCACCCCCACTGGGGCCTTCGGTGGAGCTCCCTATGGGGCCACGAAGCGCCGTACTGGGTGTGGCGGACGCTTGTGGCCACCCCCACTGGGGCCTTGGGCGGGCCCCCCATGGGGCCACGAAACTGCGCACTGGGTGCGGCGGACGCATGCGGCCACCCCCACTGGGACATTGGGTGGAGTTCCCTATGGGGCCACGAAGCGCCGCACTGGGTGTGGCGATCGCACATGGCCACCCCCGCTGGGGCTGTGGGTGGAGCCCCCTATGGGGCCACGAAGCGCTGCACTGGGTGTGACGGACGCATGTGGCCACCCTGACTGGGGGGGGGGGGGGGGCAGCGGGGGGAGGAGACGCGGGGACCGTCTCTTCAAAACGAAGACCCAACACCACAGGATGGTTTGCAACAGCTGAACATACCTGGAGGTGGGGAAGAGCCGAAAGCGGATCGGATCAATAGGAGGTTGAGTAGCAGTAGGAGTCTAATATCTAACTTTATCCCCGACTTGAATTTCAACCAATACATCGGGTAGTTTACTGTCGATGACCTTCGTGAAGGGTTTTGGAGACGCCTGGGCGGAATCTGATTCGCAGACTTGGAGCAGGAGGTGGCGCCCCGATAGGCATTCATCCTACTGTAGAGCACCGAATTGGAGAAGAGGGAGTGGGCATAACGAGCTGTGATACGGGCACCATCTGACTCCATCACGGTTGTCCGCCAAACGCTCATCTCGTGGAAAGCGGGACCCTGATCGGCGGCACTGATCATCGCCGCCTGCGACGCGGAGATGAGGCGGGCAGCGTCTTTGCCACGTCCCACCGCACTCATGCGGAAGCAAACTTGCGGCGGAAACGCACGCCGAGGAGCGGGATCCAGAGCTGGGTGTGACTCGCGCCATTGTGCCTTGACAAACTTCGGGAATGGCAGGAACTAGGCGACGTGGTTAAATGCTTGGGCAACGTAGGTGTTGTAGGCCACTATACTTTGCGCTCGAGCTTCTCACCTATCCCTGTGATTTCGCGAACACGAGAAACGAGACTACCAATATGAGCCCGCCACGCGAGATCAACAGCATTGTGGCCTACAGCTACACCTCGGCATACGGCGTTGTTCTGGATCTTGAACCGCGGGAGGTCGAGCCTGACCCTGAAAACCTCTGAATGGCCTGCCGGCCGTTCTGGATATTGACCACGGGGGGGCCAGGCCAGCGACAGGCCCGGCGCGAACGAGACGGATCGCGGCAAGGAAACATTCGAGCACGTCCGCGCGGGCGAAGCTTAAACCGCCGGCGAACGCAATCAAACCGCATGCGAGCATGCACTGGAGGCTCTAAATGCGCCAAATCACGGGATGCATGATAAGAGCGATGTGGGCCCCAGACAGAGGGCAGCCCTGCTTGGCCCCTCACGCCGCCCAAAACCGACTAGCATTGGGCGCGGGGGGCCGATGAAGTTGAAAGCCTCTGGCAGAGCCCCAATGCCCGCGAGGATCGTCTCTGGGAGCAGCGTCTTACCCGCAATCTTGAAGAGCCACTGGTGGAAGACGCGCAGGAAAGACTGGCGGGCGACGAACAGGCAGCCACCAGCATGCACCTGTCCAAGACCACCTGCCCATCCCAGCAGGTGGCCTTCAAAGAGGACATGATTGCCTACTGGGCCCCTCACCTTGACAAACCCTGAGTAGGATCAGCAATTTCTGTGGCCGCGGCATGGGGGGGTTGGGCGAGAGCAGAGCACGCGATTTCGTCGTCCGCTTCGGAGACGGAGAGGAGACGGGCGCCCTTGAGAAAGCGGTCTTCCCGACCCCCTTGGGCAACGGTCCCTTCGGGAAGAAACGCGGACCTGCAAGCGTTGAACTCCGATTCGATGGATCCCGTCAGTGAAGAAATGGAGGGGGAGGGAGTAGAGCGCCTGCTCCACCGGCAAACTGGCCGCCGTCCAGGTAGCGCACGGAACGCCATCTGGGCATCTGGGCACGCCGCGGCGTCTTCCCTAGCAAGAACTCCCCGAACAAAATCATCCTCCAAGAGGGCCCGATCATGCCGCTGGTGGGATTGCTGCACATTGATCGCCAACGCCATCGATAGCCTGGGCACGCGCAAGGCAAGGATCACCACATCGGAGTTCACCCCCCGGGCATCGGAGGAAACTTGGCCCCGGCAATCGCGGAAAAACTCATGGGCCGCATGGGGGCCTCCGTGAACAACTTCTCTGGGGGGCGCTGACGCCAGCGAGCCTCGTGGCGGGTCTGTTCGCAGCCCGGGCCGAGAAGAGACGACGAATGCGAGCGAGAGAAGCGGCGTGCCTGTCACTGCTGAGACCTGGGCATTGAAGCAACTGCTGAGACGAGCGCGTCGGGGTGGACTCGGCAATCGCGCCCGGCGCGGGCCTCGTCGCGTCGGCGATGCGCGCGCAGCAGCTGAAGACAGGCGCGTGCCTTGGAAGCCAAACGCTCTGCACCTGTGGCTTCGATCAATTAGTGCAGCTGGTGAGCGGCGCATCTTATGGGAGCTTTGATGTCCCGCGCTCGTCCAGGAGCGGTGAGATCCAGGATGTCATCGGCAATGAGCATGTCCATGACGTCAAGAAACTTGGAGCGTCTGGTGATCCAGATGGGCACTCGTGGTTTTCCCGCTCCATTAGGGCCGAACCCGGCGAACGGTTTCAAGCACGTGAACAGGAACATGGTCAGAGGGCTCACCGTGGTCAGTGACGGCCCGAGCAGTACCCTGAGTAACCCTACAATCCATCATAAGAACAGCCGGTGGGAGATTTGTACAACGATAATCCAGTCTAGCATGCGATGCGTCCTGCTCGGTGGTGCGACAATGAGTATCCATCGGCTGCTCTACGTCGCCACACCTGGCGACAATTTCATCGAACACGCTGGAAAGCCGAACCTGACCAGTGCGCTCATAATCGCTGCGAACCGAGCAACGACTTTCACCATGTAGTAGTAGTTGGAATCCCCGACAATGAAGCACGCGTTGAGGGGGGAGAGATGAGACCTGATGTCGTACATTATCTGACGAAAGCATGCTTCCGCCCACTCTGGTTCGACGTGGAAGTTGGCAATCTGCAAGTCGCCAGCGTCGCTGCATAAAGAGAGCACTGCAAGCCTACCTTCATGGGTGACAGACATTCTGTGACAAGCAAACTGCTGGACCAGGGCACATCGAACGAAGAAGAGGGTACCACCGGCGCTCGGACATTGACAGAAGGAACCGTCCACCATCATGTCTTTGTAATCCTTACACAGAAGTGCCAAGTCACCTTCATGACCGCGACTCTCTGGGACACACAAGATGGCGCGAGAGCGAAGGAGGGAGGAAAGACACCTGTACTTCCTACGGCTGCGACCACGAGAGGTGGCAATAGAGCAAAAAAACACCTGGACATTCGAGAATCAAATGGAAAAGGTGATTTGGCAGCTGGAGCGGAACAGTATCCTGGAGCCCCATTCCAGGCAGGCAAGGTAAATCAGAAGCCGATCCACTGGCCGAGTGGTCCAAATCAGGCGCGGGTAACGAACTCTCGCCCCCGAAAGGAGCCTGTCATATCACGTTTGGGATGCTGTTGCTCGCGGCGACGAGGGGCATTATGGCGGAGACGTCGAGGCCTCATTGCGTGATCTCCACCCCATCAGCCTCCAAGTGGTGTTGGAAACCGTTGATGCACACGAGCTGGATGCTGGACCGAATGTCGTTTTGGTCGGCCAGCGACATGACACCCTTGTAGCCGGAAACGCGGAAGTAACAGTTCTCGGTCCAGTGCGCCAGATTCGTGCACATGGCCTCGATATGCGGGCAGGTATTTGCGATGATTCTTCTCTGAGAACGGCACCCTTGCGGGATATCACCTCGCGCGCGAATCTCGGTAACCTTCCCGTCGCGGTTTTTGGTCCACTGCGAGCCCTGCTGCGAGTGCTGGAGACGAACGCGGCGGGCAGCGTCAGAGGAAAGGAGTTGGGTCATGCAGGTTTGGCCCGTCTCGTGGATGTGTGTGGTGGCGTCGTGGAGGGCCTCCGCGTAGATCGTCTTGAGCTGGTCGTAAGGGCGTTGCGTCGCCGCCCCGAGCACTGGACGTGGCGAAGTGCCCATGAACACCTCGGCATTGTCATTTCCATGGGCTAGTTCCCGTTGACGTCGATATTGCGGCGCTTGCTCTCGGAGGCGCTCGCCACTGCAGACGCTGCGGAGGACGCAACCGATGGAGCGACGGAGGAATAGGCGGCCTGCCTCTGCAAGCTCTTGATGGCTTCGTCATGGGCGTCCATGCGGGCGTTGACAGGCGCGAGGCCAGTCGCGACAGCACTCAGGACCTTCGTGCCGATGGCAGCGCTGATCGTTTTCTCCAGGTTCTTCTGCACTTGCTCGAACATGATGGCGCTCTCGGCAACAGTCGGCATGGTCTCTTCTTTGCTGCGGCACTCCCGCGGCCGCGGAAAAGGAGACAGGGGCTGGTGCGAAGGCCAGAAAGCGCGCCCGCGGCTGAACCCCTTGGACAGAGGTTGCGAAGTTAAGGAGCAGGAGGAGGAGGAGGAGAAGGAGGAGAAGGGGGGGTAGGTCATGGCATGGTAGGGCCAGGCTGCACCGTCTGAACCAGGCGGTGGCCGCGACGGCAGAGGAGTCACGTGCGGGAGGAGGAGGAAGAGGAAGAGGAGGAGGGGGGGAGGAGGAACGGGAGGTAGAGGAACTGGAGTGAAAGGAGAAACAGGAGGACGAGGAGGACGAGGGGGGTGCAAATGAGAAGTGTAGACTGGACGACGCCTGCACGACACGGCTCCATGGCAGGACGTGCAGAGCCAACTGTGTGAGTGGGGAAAAAAACACCTCTTCCTCCCCCACCCCTCCTCATTCACCCTGCTTATCATCCTCCTCCTGTTTCTCCTCCTCCTCCTCCTCCTCCTCCTCCTCCCCCTCCTCCTCTTCCCCTTGTAGCTAACTCCTCCCTGCCGCGCCTCCTGACGTGTTGGTAGTGCGAGCTGGGCGTATGACCCTGAAGCTCGCACTCCGAAACAGCTTCACAGAAGGAGGGTGGCGTGTTCAACATTGTGGCTCTCGTCTTCGTCTCTCGATGTTGCGACAGCTACCAGGATGGAGCACGCGTGGCTTTCAAAATGGGAATCTCGCTTCAGCGCCGCCCAAATTTGTCTTCACACAAGGTAAAAGCGTCAAGAGTGGACGAAGGGGGCGTTATCAACATGTGGCTCTTGTCTTAGCGCCGCCTGCAATCGTCCTAAGTATGTGCAACAGCTTCAGGGATGGATGGCTGCTCCTTTTCAAGATGTGGCGCTCGCTCTAGCCCCGCTCGCACTCGTTTTCAACATTAGTTAGCTACGTATTCAAAGCTGGAGGGGGGCTCGTTTTCAAAATGGAGATATCGCCTGAGCACCGCGCACATCCATGTTCAAACGACGCAGTAGATTGAAGGATGGAGGGGGGGTCGTTTTCGAATTGTGACTCTCGCCCTAGCGCTGCGCGGATTCGTCTTACGATATTCCAACGGCTACAAGGATGGATCACCGACAATTTTCAAAACGGGCCCTCGCCTTAGCGCCACGCGCATCCGATTTTCAAATGTTTGCGACAGTTGGAGGGGTGGAGGGCGGCTTTGCAAACTTGCGTTCTCGCTTGAGACCTCTTTCAACTTAACGACCTGGAACTCCAATCCGTGTATCACGACACGCATCGAGGGAATCGAGGGTGGCTCATTTTCAAACTGGAGCCATCACTTGACATTTCCTCGAAGCTCATGGCCACACTTGTCAAGCTGTGCAATAATTACACAAATGTGGGGGCGGTCCTTCTTCGGAAGGGGGGCATCGCTTGACACCTGCGCCACTGCCCTGCATTCTGGCACTGCCGCCCCCAAACCCATTAGGGCTGCTTCACCACTCGCCCCGTGCACGGCTCCTCCTCTGCGCTTCGCTCGGCCGTTGCATCCTTCGCCCCAACGGAGTGTGCAGGTACTGAACTTGAGCACCTCGTAGACGAGTGAAGCGACGGCCGGCAAGTCCAATGCAGTCTCAAGGTCTCAACACTCTGGGGCGCTGGGCGCCCCAAGGTTGGGGTGCTGAGACCGGCCTGGACGACTCGGGGGGCCCGTCGAGGCCGGACGGGACTACCCGGGGGGGCCTGTTGAGGCCACTCGGGGATACCTGGGGGGGGCTGGCTGTGCGAAACCCTGAGTATCGTTTAACCGATCCACATCCCCAGCGGCGTGGCCTGGGGCCTGGGCCCCGCTGGCCGATTTACCCCCCTAGATGGGGATATAGGTAGTTCTCTTCGGGGTTCGACAACTGGAGTGATAATTTGGTGGGGGTCTCGAAGGGGATGGAGATGGGGATGGGGATCGGATAAACGATACTGAAACCCGAAGCCGTGCCCGTGGTCATGCTCCTGCCTCCGGCGAGGCCGCGCGGGGGCCTCCACAGCGACGTCGCCAGCGCGCGCCAGGCCCACAGCGCCGACGCGCAGGCGGCGCAGGAGAGCATCGAGGCGAGGCGGGTGGCGCAGCAGGGCAGCCTGCGAGGGGCGGGCAGGAGCGGACGTTGCTGCAGGGTGGCGACGACGAGCTTGTTGCATATAGATAACACACAGGACTGCAGTGGCGCTTCGTGCCATGCACCTTGTTCCTTGATGTTTGCCATGCAGGCGGAAGGGCAGGCAAGGAGAACAGAAAACTGAACGATGACTCCGTGTTGCCTTTTCCGGCATCGTCGGTATAATCATAGCATTCGTGCCCCTTCCCTCATGTTTCCCCTTCCTCTTTCTCATTCTCGCCCTACCCTGCGAATTTGCGAATTCGTCCCCGTCCTCAGCTCTTTTTGCGGAGGCTCCTCCCTGGAGAGCCTCCTGGGGGCCTCACGACAATTGTTCAGGGCTTCTTGGGGCCTTATGGAGGCCTCCTGGGTTCCTTTGGGGGCCTCGTACTTCCGAAGCACAAGGGTAACGCCTTGCTATGCTGCTGGCAAGACCATGCGTCACCCGCACATCTATGCCATCTGTGGAATATCTAGGGATCAGGCACTATGAAACAAGTTCCACAATTTGCCTTGCCTTGGACTGCCGCAGTGGTAGGGAGAGGGATGCAATGGCGACGTGCTCTGCGGGGTAATCCTGATCGGCGTCAACCGTGTCTGTGCTACGCTCGTCGCCCGTGGGGAAGATGCTGGGTTATAGTTGCGATTGCACACGAGTAAGGCCATCATCCAGATCCAGACTATGGCTATGGCTACCAGACCAGGCAGAGGTTCTCCACTGTCATACCGTATCCTTGCCCAAGAGCGTGACAACCTCACCATGGCCGTGATCATCCGATCATACAAGTGAGACTTTACTTCGCCCCAATGCATGGACGCAATACGCAAACCAACGGCAGCGCTGCGTCAGCCACCCGGGAAGACAATTCACCAATCACTTGGGTGGGGCGGACAGATTCTGCATATGTAGATTGGCATCCACGGGAATTTGGGCAGCGCCATGGTGGTCTGTAATTGACGGGGAGGCGCCGTGGGGCGTGGGGAAACAGCTCCACCCAGAGACGACAACAAAAACGCAGGTGGCCAGTGGATCCCACTCTCCAGGTGCGCCCCTCCTTGTGTAAGCGCACATGCGCTGGTCAAAATCATGGCGCGCGTCAGAAGCACGCATGGTGTCGTTGGCTCTGAGATTTCCAGCATGACGCGTGCGCATCCACGAAGACCGTGGCCCGCCGTAGTTCCTTCCTCTGAGCAATTTCGACTCCGTGGGCACAAGGGCTTTCGACCAGCCAGGTCATCAGGGTACCTATCTAGAACCAGTGCGCCTACTACTATAACTGTCATGGTTGACACGATCTGGATTACAATCCCACCAGCCCTTTGGGCGTGAGTGGTTTAGCGAGCCCTCTCTGTTCTCAACCCCCCTTCTTCCCCTTCGGGGAGGGGTTTACCCCTCCCCCTACCCCCTCTGGGCCTGGAGAGGGCGCCTCGCGGGTCGTCGGGGGGGTCATTTCGACTCCTGGGAGGGCTAAATAACGACACCCCTCACGAGGATTCTGGCCCCGACGGGGGGAGGCAGAAAAAACCCTCTCCTCTTCTTTGAAGCCAAAATCATTGATTTTACTACGGTGTTGGCCCCATTTTCGCCTTCTGAGGGGGCAGCGCTCATTAAAGCCCCCCTCTTCTGTCAAGCCACAATCATTGATTTTACGAAGGTTTTGGCCCCATTTTGGCCTTCTGAGGGGGCAGCGCTCATTAAAGCTCACCTATTCTTTGATCGATTCCCTCCAAGATGGCCCCAAGAAGCGCCCAGGAGGCACCAAGAGGCCCCAAGATGGCCCCAAGAGGCCCCCAGGATGCCCCCAAGAGGCCTCCAAGAGGCCCCCAAGATGCCCCCAAGAGGCCCCCAAGAGGCCCCAAGAGGCTCCCCCGAGGCACCCAAGACGCTCCTGGAAGCCCCTGGGGCCGCCAAGAGGCCCCCAAGACGCCCCAAACGGCCTCCAAGAGGCTCCCAAGAGGCCCGAAGAGGCTCCCCCAAGGCACCCAAGACGCTCCTAGAAGCCCCTGGGGCCGCCAAGAGGCCCCCAAGACGCCCCAAAAGGGGACGAGGTGCCCGAACGCCTCGCGCCACGAGGAGCCCGAACGACTCACACCAGGACGAGGGGCCCGAACGACTCATACCACGAAGAGCCCGAGGAGGGGCCCCAACGACTCACAACAGGACGAGGCGCCCGGACGACTCACACCACGAGGAGCCCGAACGACTCACACCACGACGAGGGCCCCGAACGACTCACACCACGAGGAGCCCGAACGAGTCACACCAGGAGGAGGGGCCCGAACGACTCACACCAGGACGAGGGGCCCGAACAACTCACACCACGAGAAGCCCGAACGACTCACACCAGGACGAAGAGCCCGAACGACTCACACCACGAAGAGCCCGAACGACTCACACCAGGAAGAAGGGCCCGAACGACTCACACCAGGACGAGAAACCCCAAACGACTCAAACCACGAGGAGCGCTTTCTCTCCCTCCTCCTCCGCCTCGTCCTTCTCCCGCTCCCCCCACAAGGAGGATGTACAAGGAGGCGGGAGGAAGGAGGAACAGGGGAGATATGCGGGGCCAAGCGGACACACGCCTGAAAAACACGACTGCCGGCACGCTTCGCAAGAGTTGCTGTTGTGAGATGGGCTGGTGGGGATACGCGAAGCGTAAAGAATTATCAAAGGCTGACAAGCCTTTTAGCAAAACGCCTTCACGTGAAATCTTCCAGGAGCACTCCACGTGCGCACGGCACCGTATTCCGAATGGACCCCAGCGGGGTAGCTAATCGACGTCCGAAGCAACTGAATGTATCTGGCGAAACACACGTCGACCAGCAAGCGAAACATACTGGGGACTGCACCAGTATACTCGAATGCCGATGTCGAGTGCACCACTGCAGATTTCCTCAGCCGACTTGTCTGGGCGCGCGTTCTCGCAATGCCCGAAATCAAAGTTGAGCAATTCGGACACTGCCCAAATACTGCAGAATCTTCAAGTACACTGTTAAGAATGCGCTTGCGATACGAAGCTGCGACAGTGAACGAGGAAGGGGCAAGCGAGCATAATGAAGCAGGAAGACATGACCCACGCACGAATGACCACTTTCCACGATCGCGAAGCGACAACACTCAGAGAACTCACTCTGTGAACAAATCGCGTCGGAGAGATGCTTGATGATTTCACCGAGAAGTCAACCGACAACTGCATTGCCAAGCTGCTCCTCGCTCTGCTGGTCGGCATCCTGCATTGACATGGCCCGATCAGGCACTCCTTCTAACTTTGGGCGGAGCGGCCAGTAACGCCGCATCAAGTGCTCTCAAGAAGCCCTGTGAAGGCCACCGAAATCGCCTCCCCCCCTCCTCCCACCGTCTACCGCCCTGGTCTGCCCGCGGGAGGGGGGGGGGGGCGGGCGGTGTTTACATGATGGGGGCACGGCTTCGCGACACCGCTGAGCTGCATGGGGAAGTCGTGCAGCCAGCTGGAACCAGCAGCGCACGTTCGACTCCGTGGGGCTGCGCAGTGAGATCTTGCAGCTGGCGGGCGCCTGCCGTCCCGACCCCCCTGCGTTCCACCAGCTCGGTTATGGCGCCGCGCGGCGAACTCGCGCTTACACGCCAAGTCACCGTGGCCATCCGATCCAAAAGAGATCGGATGCCGGGGTGGCGGTCGGAGGAGGGCAGGGGAAGGGGGGACAGAGCATAGAGGTAGGGCTACTCTTGAAAAAAGAGGCCACAAAAGATAAAAAGAACGAGCGGCGAAGGTGGAGGAAAGGAAACGGAAAAGAATGAGGATCGCCCACCCCGCTTTGAAGCATCCCCGCTGCCTCCCCATACCCAAACTGGCCGCCACATTCGCGGCATGAAGAGTACACGACAAACCTGACGCTTTGCGCGACGAGCCAGCGAGAGCAAGGATCAACCTTAACCCGCCGGTGATCCTCGGAGCGCGTGCTCGCGCCAACATGTGCTTGAGCCGCTCGACCCTTCAACACGACGCAAGCGGTGCAATGAGGGCCACCACAAGCTGCATGCTATCGGTGGAGCTGGCCAAGATCAACACATTGGGCTAACAATTGCTGGCCCGCAGCGACAGGAGGCCTCGTCGCGGTCGAATATACGGCTGGATGCGCGGTAGCGGATTGCGCCTGCACGAATGGCGGAGGAGGAGAAACGACCGCGGAGGGAGGAAGAGAGAGGAAGGCCTGCTCAGGGCTTAGACGGTGAAGGCCTTCCTGCGCAACGCTGGTGCGAGGCAGGGACTTGGCCATATCCACCGCCTGGGGAACCGCGTCCTGGAAGCTCAGCGGGCCGCGAGAATGTAGACAGTTTGTCCCCTGCAGGGGGGCCCGAACCTATCCACATCCAACGCCCACCGAGGTCCCCGAAGATCGACCCCCCAGGCGGTGGCTGCGGCCAAATCCCCGTCTCGGAGCTGGCGGCCCCAGGCTCACGCGGGATCCTGGGCCCTCTGGGGCCCGAGAGGCGCGGGGGCAGGAACTCTGCGCGGGCACGCGCCCCGCCAGCGGCCTGCTGCTGGCGGCGCGGCGCCGGCCAGCCATGCCGCCGCCCGCCGCATGCGGCGTCGCTCGCGGCGAGGCTCAGCCCTCCGCACCCCGTCCCCTCCTCTCTCCCTGCGTGCTTGAGCAAATATGTGCGACACCCACGCATCGTGCTCCCACCCTGCTGCCCCAGCAAGCTAGCACTCGCTTGCTCAGGCAGCCGGGGGAGGGGAGGGGACGGCGCCAGGCTGATTGAGGGTGGCGAAGAGGAGGAAGAGGAGACGGAGGAGGAGGAGGAGGAGGAGGAGGAGGAGGAGGAGGAGGAGGAGGAGGAGGAGGCAGGCGTGGAGAAGAGGGAGGGAACGAAGGAGCGAAACAGAGCTGGCGAAGCGGCTCCTCTTCAAGCCCTTTGAGGGCCGAGAGCCCGACGTAGTCATCCAGTCTGGAGCTCAGGGGGACACTGGGGGGGCGGGACAGGTGGAGGGGACAGGAGGAGCAGAGGGAATGGGAGGAGGAGATTGGGGAGAGGGTGCGGTCACAGCGTCTCCCGTCGCGCCTGGCCTGCAGCCCCCACCTCCTCCTCAAGGCGAGCCCCGGGGCCCGCCCTGAGCCAGGAGGCGGGTGCAGGCGAGCGCAGGGGGCCCGATGGTCTCCCTCGATGTCTCGCTGGAGTGGCTCGCTCTTCTGAGGGGAACAAAAACGACATTGACACAACTTTCGGAGGTCCGCGTGGAACTTCTATATTTGTTTGTACTGCTGCAGTTGTCTTTGAATCAATGTTTATAGAGTTCGGTCGTCTCCTGCTTCTCCCCTTCCTATTGCCACTCCTCCTCCTCCTCCTCCTCCTTCTCCTCCTTCTCCTCCTCCTTCGGATGGACCCTCACACAATACTGGGCGCTCTTTCGCCCATGTACCTTGGATCCAAGACAAGCGGAAGCTCCCGTGCTTTACTATCCAACGTTGCCACTCTTCCTACCCCTCCTCCTCCTCCCCCTCCCCCTCCCCCTCCACCTCCTCCTCCTCCTCCTCCCTGCCTCCTTGCTTCCTGTAGAAAAAAGAAATGGCATAACCATTTGCTTTTCGAGGGCCGCGCGGAGTTCTTAGATCGGCGCTGGACTCCCCTTCCTGGTGCGCGGAGCGCGCCAGGGGGGCCCAGCGCAGACCTAAGAAATCCGCGCGGAACTCCGAACATGCATGTTTCTGCCGTTGCCTCCTCTTCGATCCTCGCCTCCTTGAACGTTGAACAGACCTTAGGTAGTACCTGTGCCGTTCTTAAACCTCCTCCTCCTCCTCCTCCTCCTCCTCGCCTGCGCTGGCGGGGCAGGCAGAGCTGGGCGGCGCGAGCTCGACTGGCGGCGTCCTGGCAGTGACCACGGGGGGCGGCTGCTCGGAGCTTCGGCCCCAGGGGGGCCCCGCTCTTCGGGGGCCGCCCAAGGCAGGGGGGGGGGCGTCCAAGAGGGGGGCGGCCGAGAGGGCGGCCCCTGGCTCCCTCTTGACTACCTGCCATACCACCCCAGCCCAACCCGAAGACCCGAATTTGACCCGAATTTCGGGTTGGGGAGGGGAGCGGGTTCCACGTGCTTTTTCACTGCTCCCCGACCCCCCCCCGACTGGAAAAGGAGGGCAACTATTGAGGCCTTCGGGCTGGGTTGGGGTGGTCTGGTAGGTGGCGACCTATTGGCGATCGAGAGGGGGGCGTCCAAGAGGGGCGCGTCCAAGAGGGGTGCGTCCGAGAGGGCACCCGCGTGCGAGCATCGTGCGGCGGCAGGTCGGCCGCTGCCGCGCCGCCGGGCTCGCCACGCCGCCGCCGCTGGCTCGAAACGCCGGTGCGTCTGCCGCGCACGGGCGGGCGGGGAGCTGGCCGGCGGGTGCAGGGGAGCTGCCCGTGCCTCGGCACGCCGGGTGCTGCGACGACTGCCAGCCAGCGGGGGGAGTCCCAAGGGGGGGCGTCCAGGAAAGGGGGTCACGAATCATGGCCCGAGGCAAGTGCGCGGACGAGAGGGAGACCAGGGGACGCCCTGAAAGAAGAAAGAGAAGCCATGATATCCGGGGAGATTTCATGGCCCAGGCCATGGCACTTTGCCCCTCCTAGTCGTCACCGCCCGCTTGGCCACACACGAGCTCTGAGCCTTGGGACCCTCGCGGACGGGCCGGGGCGCGGAAAGCCCCGCACACGGGTTGGTAAGGCTTCGGGGTGCCCCGAGGAGATCCCATCTGGCCTCAGCAGCCCCCCCCGAGTAGCCCACGGCGGTCTCAACCCCTCGACCCTGTGGCGCGGAGCTCCCCAGGGGCGCCGCCAGAGGCGGCGCCAGGGCGTCGAGACCGCCCCCACCTTCTCGAGGGGCCTGATGAGGCCAGCTGGGACCACTTCGGGCGGCTGCTCGTGCGCGACCCGAAGCCTTCCCAACCCGGGTGAGGCCGAGGCCCTCCTCGCGGCGGCGGAAGTCTGGCAAGCGTGCGGCGCCGCCCCCCCCCCCCGCCGCGCACGGGCCCCGCGCCTTGGGGCGGGCGCCACCGCGACACGCTGGCCGTGCCCCCGCGACTTTTTCAGTCGAGGGTTGACAGGTCCCCCTTTAGCACAACGCCCTTTCGCGAAAGCTGTTGGGGCACTCCACGGGTGCGCGCGGCATCGCATTCCGAGTGCACCCGGGCGACGTCCCCAATAAATAAGCCCAATAAATATAGCCATCGACGTCCCCAATAAATATACCCATCGAAACACAAGCCGATTAGCGAAACTGAGCGGGGACTGCACCAGCACACTCGTATGCCAATGTCGAGGGAACCCGCGCAAATGTCCTTAGTCGACTTGTCCGGGTGGGCGTTCTCTCAAGTTCCCGTTTTTTTCACTATTCGCGATACCGCCTGTGACTGGCCCCGTCTCCCCCATCTCGCCCCCTCCCTGGTCACGTCACGATTCGCGCTGGCGCCGTCTGGGAATGAGTTACTCCTTAAGCAGACCCAGACGGCGCCGGCGCGAATCGTGACATGATCAGCCTCCTCCTCCTCCTCCTCCTCCTCCTCCTCCTCCTCCTCCTCCTCCCTCTCCCCCTGGTCACGCCCGTTATCGCAAGGAGATTGTACTCTCCAATGCCCGATTCAGGTACGCTCGCGCGGGATCGCGCCTGTCACGCGGTCTCTCGCCGGCGCGAGCTGGCCCTCGCCCGCCGAGGCGCTCCAGCGCAGGAGCCAGCAGGACCCGGAGGAGGGCGCCCAGACGAAAACGGAGCAGGCAGCCCGCTCCGCGCAGCGCAGGCAGCACCCGTGCTGCGTGGTGGCGGACGGGTCTGTCGAGACGGCGCAGCACGCAGACCCCTCGACGTGCTTGATCGCACCTCGGGCACGGACGACAGTTATCATCATTATCCTCCTCCATATAAATAACTTCTCCCTGCCGCACCCCGAGGCAAGTTTTTAGGGCGGGCCGCGCGTTTCGCCTGAGATTTCATCACCGCTGATAACTCTGAAGCAATAACATTGGCAACAGCTTCACAGATGGAGGGCGGGTGGTTTTCATAATGTAGCTCTCGCCTTAGCGCCGCGCACATTCGTTTCAACCATTTGCAAGAACTTCACGGATTGAGGATAACCCGTTTTCAAAATGTGCCTCTCGCCTTAGCGCCGTGCGCATTCGTTTTAAACATTTGTAAAAGTTGACGGATTGAGGGGGGCTCTTTTTCAAAATGTAGCTCTCGCATTAGCGCCACGCACATTCGTTCATACTATTTGCAAGAGCTTCACGGATTCCCACGACCAACGTACCAGAAATTATGTTTTGGAAGGATTCCAGATTTTGCGGGTGCAGCAGTTACGTGTATTCGCGGTGCTGAATTCCCAAGAATGACGCTCTGGCATAGTCCAAGATCGTCAAGACACAACGGTCAGGTTGATCCGTGGTGATGGAATCCCGAGAACAATGTTTTGGCATGATTCTGGGTCTTCAAACGGTTGTCTTCCAACGAGGCAGATCCCTCAATGGGAATGAACCGATGTAAGGCCTATGAAGAGGGAGCTTGGAGGGAGGGAGTATTCCAACATCGTGAATGGCTCTTGGGTTTACAATGATACTCCTCCTCCTCATCATCATGATCATCACCATCGGTATCATTATCGTTATGAGTTATCGCCATCATGATCATCACCATTATCATCAGGATAACCAAGATCAATATCATCATCGCTACCATCATTAGTATGATGATCCGCCACGTCATTACCAAATCAATCATTATCATCATCAACGTAGTCGTCGTCATCATCATAAGCACCATCATCATCATCATCATCATCATCATCATCATCATCATCATCATCATCATCGGCATTGGTATCGTCATCGCCATCGTCATCGTCATAACCGCCATCATCACCATCAACATCATCGTCATCATCATCACCATATTCATCATCACAATCATCACGAACATCATGGTCATCGTAATCATCATCATCACTACCATCATCAACATCGTCATCATCATCATCATCGTCATCATCATGTGTCATCGCCCTCGTGAGCATCATGATCATAATCAAAATCAGAATCAGCATCATCATCAGCGTCATCATCGTCAACATCTGAAGTATCATCGTCATCATCATCGTCACCATCATCATCACCATCATCATCAAGATCATCATTAGCAACATCAGAATTCGCATCATCACCGTCATCGTTAGCAGCATCATTATCATCGACAGCATCGTCATCGGCATCGTCATCGGCATCATCATCATCAGCATCAGCATCAGCATCGTCATCATCACCATCATCATCATCATCATCGACAGCATCATCATCATCATGATCATCGCCATCATCATCGTCATCATCAGCATCATCCGTTATACCACATCAGCGTCATCGTCATGATCGTCATCGACATGAGAAGATCATCACCATCATCGTCATCATCATCGTCATCCGCATCGTCGTCATCATCATAAGCATCACAACCATCATCATCATCACCATCGGCATTGTCATCGTCATCGTCATCGTCATCACCATCAGCAGCATCACCATCATGAGCATCAGTTTGCTGATCGTCATCGTCATCAGAAACTTCGTCATCATCGACATCATCGTGACCATCATCCTCTTCGTGATCGTCATCGACATCATCGTGATCGTCATCGTCGTCGTCGTCATCATCGTCATCATCATCGTCATCGCCTTCGACATGGTCATCGCCATCATCAGTCATCATCCTCATCATGATCATCATCATCATAATCGTCATCATCCTCATCCTCATCGTCAGCATCAGCATCATCCGCATCTTTGTCATGCTGAACGACTTCGTCAGCATCACCAGCATGTCATCATCATCATCATCATCATCATCATCATCATCATCATCATCATCATCATCATCGTCAGCATCATCACGATCGTCATCACCATCATCATCCCATCATCATTATCATCACCACTCTCATCATCATCGTCATCGTCTTCATCATCATTAGCACCAGCATCGTCATCGCCATCATCAGAATCGTCACCGTCATGAACAACAAAATCATCATCATCAGCAGCATCATTATCATTATCATCATCCTCCTCATTATCATTAGCACCATCATCATCATCATCATCATCATCATCATCATCGTCATCATCATCATCATCATCATCAGCATCATCATCATCATCATCATCATCATCATCATCATCATCGTCGTCGTCGTCACCGTAATCATCGTCATCGACATCATCATCATCGTCGTCATTGTCATCATCATCGCCATTGTCATCGTCATCATCGACATTATCGTCACCTCTCGACTTGCTTTTTTACCTAACAGCTTTTGCTGATAGGTTTCTAGTGGTGTCAAAAGAGAGCATCTGGACTCCACAGGGGGGTCTGGGCGGGTGCCGGGGAGGAGGGCCGGGAACAGAGCCGGGCTCGTTTTAAGCCAACAGTCGCACACTTCGTGCTCTTCGACTTCCCAGAACTCCATTCCCGGGCCACATTTTGGATGCCCGGAGCCAACTGTAGGCCACTTCGTGCTCTTCGACTTCCCAGAACTCCATTCCCGGGCCACATTTTGGATGCCCGGAGCCAACTGTAGGCCACTTCGTGCTCTTCGATTTCCCAGAACTCCATTCCCGGGCCACATTCCCAGAACTCCATTTGCCCGGAGCCAACTGTAGGCCACTTCGTGTCTTCGAGTTCCCAGAACTCCATTCCTGGGCATGATTTTGAATGCCCGGAGCCAACTGTAGGCCACTTCGTGTTCTTCGAGTTCCCAGAACTCCATTCCCGGGCCACATTTTGAATGCTGAGGCAGGCTGATGCTGAGGCTGAGGCAGGCTGAGGCTGAGGCAGGCTGAGGCTGAGGCCGAGGCTGAAGGCAGACTGAGGCTGAGGCTGAAGCAGGCTGAGGCTGAGGCTGAGGCAGGCTGAGGCTGCAGGCTGAGGCTGAGGCTGCAGGCTGAGGCTGATGCAGGCTGGCTGAGGGCTGAAGGCTGAGGCTGAAGCAGGAGGCTGAGGCTGAGGCTGGCTGGCTGAGGCAGGCTGAGGCTGAGGCTGATGCAGGCTGAGGCTGAGGCTGAGGCTGAGGCCTGAGGCTGAGGCTGAGGCTGAGGCTGAGGCAGGCTGAGGCAGGCTGAGGCTGAGGCTGAGGCTGAGGCTGAGGCTGAGGCAGGCTGAGGCTGAGGCTGAGGCAGGCTGATGCTGAGGCAGGCTGAGGCTGAGGCTGAGGCTGATGCAGGCTGAGGCTGAGGCAGGCTGAGGCTGAGGCCGAGGCTGAAGGCAGACTGAGGCTGAGGCTGAAGCAGGCTGAGGCTGAGGCTGAGGCTGAGGCTGAGGCTGAGGCAGGCTGATGCTGAGGCTGAGGCTGAGGCTGAGGCTGAGGCTGAGGCTGCAGGCTGAGGCTGAGGCCGAGGCTGAAGGCAGACTGAGGCTGAGGCTGAAGCAGGCTGAGGCTGAGGCTGAGGCAGGCTGAGGCTGAGGCTGAGGCAGGCTGAGGCTGAGGCTGTGACTGCGACTGCCGTTGCCACTGCGACTGTCATCGCGAATGCGACTACGACTGCGAGAACAGCAGAATTCTACAACTGGATTCTCATCCGAATCTTAAGGGGAATGCTTCCAGATATGCTCCTACACATCGCTGTTAGGTTGCTTTGCCGGGATCATTTTGATCTTCTCCTCCCACCCCTCGCGCAGCATGCGGATCGGCGAATGGCCTGGCGGCCCCATGGAACCTTCGGTCAGGACACCGAGGCCAGCACAATTGGGGCCAGGCAGCTTTGTGCGCACACCGACCCCGACCACGGACGGCGTGTGAGCCCCGTGCCCACGGCCTGGCATCTGAGAGAGCCGCGGTGCATCAAGGCAAAGAGGCAGCCGGCACGATGCAGCGAGGAGTCACACCGCGCGGTCGAAGGCGGCCACTCCACGGTAGTCGCGGCGCGCCCCGCGCCCACAGGCGGCGCCAGCGCGGGTGGCCGCCAGCAGCCCGGCCATCGCCACACTGGCCAGGAGCCACAGGGCCCCGCGGCGCCCCGCGGGCAGCGCGGCGGCGCGGCCTCCAGTTCCGCGGGCGTCCGCCGCAGCGGCGCCCAGGAGCTCCGCGGCAGTGGGGGCCTCGAAGAGGACCTCGGCCGGGCCGGAGGCGTTGGCGGACGCTTCGATGTGGAGCCTGACGCTGCCGAAGTCGCCACTGGAGACGACGGGCTGCGCCAGCGCGTAGTTCCGGGCTGCACCGTGGCTGAACAAGTTCACATCGTGCTCGCACGAGTTCCGCCACCGCGTGGAACGAAGGAGCGTGGTGAGGGACACTGGCGAGACCAAGTTGGCCGCGCTTCCCGCCCACCAGTAAATACCTTCGGGTTCTCCGGCATCATAATGAGAAGAACACTACGAATAAGAAGAATATCCGATACCGTCGCAATCAGAAGTATTGTCGCCAATACCATTTCCTCACCGCTCTCCGCGCCTCTTCCCCAAGGGGGCGGGGTGCGTGTGGGGGGAGACAGCACTAGCTGGACAGGACGTGCCAAAGGCGAAGCCTGAGCAAGTCCAGGAGAGCCTTTTCCAACAACAGCAAGTGCCATGGGGCCTCCACGGAGTGTTCTCAAAAGAAGAGGGCGAGCGAATACCGGTGTTTTCGCTCGGCTGCAGAAAAGGAAAACCTCTCAAGATTTTGCCACACGGAGTGTGGGGGATGGAGGGTGGGCAGCTTTTGAGCCACCACACCACCACGGATCACATATGATCAAGAGGCTCAGCTACAGGAAGACAAGTCGACCGACAATACATTCCTGACCGCTCTCCGCGCCTCTTCCCCAAGGGGGCGGGGTGCGTGTGGGGGGAGACAGCACTAGCTGGACAGGACGTGCCAAAGGCGAAGCCTGAGCAAGTCCAGGAGAGCCTTTTCCAACAACAGCAAGTGCCATGGGGCCTCCACGGAGTGTTCTCAAAAGAAGAGGGCGAGCGAATACCGGTGTTTTCGCTCGGCTGCAGATTCTTGTCGACTCTATCTAATTGGATATGCTACAAGGGCAACGCGGCGCAACAGGGCTTGGACGGCTCGGTCGGTGAGCTGGGATGCCTGTAAACGCTGCTGCCGCGAGAGCTTTAACCGTCTGCCGAAGGAGGGACCCGTGCTTCTCATACACGCGGACGCTCGAGGCTGCGCGCCATCTGCCACGAGCTTGGATTGCACGAAAGTCGCGGAGCGAGTGCAGAGCGGCATGTGACGGGCCCCCATGTCTGAGCTGGTGGGGCACACTTAGAAGGTCGTGCACACCGACGGCGAGAGCCGCTTCTCTGAGCATCTTTTCATACGTTTGCAGTGTGAGAGGGGCGAAGAGGAGAGGCGAGGACGGGGACAAGGAGCGAGAGCGAGCCTGCAGGGCGAGCAGAATGCCTGGGATCATACGGCGCACATCGGCAGGAGTTCCCGCGACGACAGCGCAGTCAAAGTCGCGGTTCTTGGCCGGCTTCGAGTCGTCGCCACCGAGGGGGGCGATGACCGCGGCCACGTCCTGCCGGCCAGGTCCGCCCACCACGCGTCTGTCGCCCACGATGTGTGAGACCTCCAGCGCCAGCACCTCGCTCGGCCTCAGGTACATGTCGAACTGCACGAGGATGGCGAGGGCCACGAGCGCCTGCAGCAGCGAGCCATCCGCCAGGTGTCGGACCACCAGGAGGACGGCGCCCCAGGGCGGCGGCAGCCGCGCAACCGGCGGCTGCTTCGCAGCCCAGCCGTCCAGCGCGTCCTTGGACTTCTGAAAGTTCGGACGCCCGGCCGACCAGCCACGTGCCTTGCAGAGCCCGTAGAGGGCGTTCTTGGCGATGTACAGCGGCTCCCCCGCGAAGAAGAGCGTCTCGCAGAAGAGGTTCACGGCGTCGTCCGCGACGCCCACGTTGTCCAGGCTGAGCCCAGTCCGAGCTGCGAAATCCTCGAGCTCGGCGACGGCGCTGGCGTAGGCGTCGCGGGTGGCAGGACGCAAGCGGGCGAGGCGAAGGTATTCGCCGGGCGCCCAGTCGCGGCCAGCCAGAGCAGCATCGGCACGGGCGGCAGTGGCCGCGCGGCGCTTCTTCCTGGCCGCGGCCTCGGCTCGAGGCACCCGCAGCGGCCGGCGGCGGCCCTCGGCCCTGTCGGGACTTGGCCCAGGGGGGGCGGAGTCCGACGGGGCAGCACGCGGGCGCCACAGGCACCCGCGGTCCAGCGACCCCGCGAGCGGCCTTGAGCGGGCGGGGCGGCGCGGCCTCGTCAGCGGGCTCGCGGCCTCGGGTCGAGGGCACTCGGCCACGACTCGCGCCAAGGGAGCCGGAAGCGCCGCGGGCAGAGTGGGGCGCTGGACCTGGCTGGCTGGGGCGCGCCTGTCGCGCTCGCCATTGCGTGATCCCAGCGCGCCCAGCCTGCCCTATCTGTCCGGCCCCGCGCGGCCCTCCCGGCATCGCGCGCCGCGATCTGCACCAGCGCGCGGCACCAGGCGGGAAGGTAGGCGCCGGCAAGCGTCGTGCGCCACACCCAACCCCGCGTGGGGTGCCGGACCTTGCCCTGCAGCTCGATCCGATGCCGCCCGTTGCAGGTGCAGAGCAGCGCCAGGTCCCCGAGGCCGCCGAACGACCCGGCCAGCGCGCCCGGCTTCTTGAAGGGCGCCCCGAACCTGCAGCTGTCGAAGACGACCTTGGGCCAGCGCAGCCGCCGCAGCTCCCGCGCGAGAGGCGGATGCCGCCACGCGCGGCTGTCACGCGGGTTCTCGAAGGTGACGTGCACGCCCAGCAGCCGGCAGAGCCGCAGCACGCGCCGAGTGAAGTCCACGAGGAGGCGATCCGCGGGCCCCGGCTCGCGCACGCCCCCGGCGGGCACCCAGCGGGTGCAAGGGAGTCCGAGGTAGACCCACCAGACCAGCCCGCGCTTGAGCCAAGACTCGACCAGACGTCGGAGCCCCGGGCGAGCCAATGGGGCCCGCGCCGCACTTCGATCGGGGCGAAGCACCTGAACCCGGCCTCGTGAACGGCCCCCGTGATGCGGGCGCAGCCCGAGAAGATCTCAAGAAATCCCCGCCTCGGGCCGGCGTGCCTCCTCGGACCCCTCGAGCTGCAATCACGACGGCAGCAAGCGGCGTCAGGCGGCGGCAGGGTCGGTGCCGGGCGGTCCCTGGACTCCTCTCCTCGTGGTAGCGGTCGATGATCCAGGTTCGCGCGGCTCCGAGTCGAAGGCCAACAGTGGAGCAGCCCAGCCTGCGGCGGGCCCGCACATCCAGGCCCAGCCAGCGGCGGCCCCTCTCTGATCGGCTGCAGCAGCAACGGACGGCCAGCAAGATCGTTGTGTTGGGCGGCAGCATCGCTCTCTCGAAGACGACGAGGCATGACGGATGGGGGACGAGGATGGGAAAGGGGATGTACATCACTCCGTCTTCTGAATGGATAGCTGCCCGCATGTTCGTGCAGGCGGGGCCGCGGGCCGCGGCCCGGCAGCGAGCGCTCAGGGTCCACCGCTGGGCAGACCGCCTCACTGACCACGAAAGTTGACAAGATTGGGCCTGCCGCCGATGTCGGGACTGCCGGGACCAGCGAGCTCCGAGACCCAGGCGTCGGCGGCAGAAGCGGCCCACGGCCGCGGTAGCGGCCAGCCCGCAGCTCTCCCCGGTCCGCGGCGCGGCCCCCCACGTCGGCCACATTGACGATCCCGGGGACGTGCCTCCACCGCGGCCGCAGCTCGCAGGCAAAGAAGATCGCGGCCACCTTCCGGCACTGCGCCAGGAGCTCCCAGTTGGTGGCCTGGCCCTTCTCGAAGGCGCACACGCTCGACAGGTTGTCGCAGAGGCCCAGGACCTCCTTGCCGTGGAAAGCCACGTCGGCGGCAGCCCGGAGCATCGGCGCGACCGCGGCTCTCGCCTCGAGCGCGCGGATGCGGCCAGGGTGCCGCCAGGCCCCTCGGCGCAGCTCCTGCCACCGCCGCGGGTCGAGCAGCTCGTCCAGCAGCGCAGCAGGCGGGACGCCGATGTCGAGCTCCACTCGGCGGCGCCGCGCGACGGCGTGCCGCAGCCCGGGCCTCGAGCTGACGTCGAAGTCTCCTCCAGCGTCAGCCAGCCCGGCGGCGCGGCCCAGGAAGACCTCGGCGTCCGGGTCGCAGGGCGCCTCGGTTGCCACGAAGCGCTGCCGCTCCTTCCACCGAGTGGCCTCCAGGACCTCGTCGGGTCGAACCCTCGCCTGGCACGCGGCGTAGCCCTTGAGCGAGCTGTCGGTGACGAACGCAACGTCAGCCGGCACCCGGCACAGGTCCACCTCGCCCAAGAAGATGAGACCAGCCGCCACGCGAAGCTCGGCCAGCACCCCAGCTGGGAGGCGGACGACGGGGTCCAAAGGCCCAGAGCCAATGAAGTCGTAGCACTCTCCCAAGACGCTGAGACCCGGCCGCAGCACCGAGAAGTAATGAACCAGGTGCCCGACGATCCTGCGGAGCTGCCAGCGCGCCAGCCAAGGCACATGCAGGACACGATGAAGCGCTGCGTGTAGACGCCAGGCGCGCTTCGCGGTGTGCCGTAGACGCCCCCGCCGGCCGTCGAGCTGCAGCCCCAAGACGGTGAGCCCCGGCTGAGCCCACTCGAGCTCGCGCCAGCGGAGCCCCCGCCGGTCCAGCTCGCCCGTGAGGGCGGCCAGGGGCGAGTTGACGGCGTCGGCGGAGAGCGAGACCATGTTCCCGTTGTCAACGTAAAGGGCCCTCGCCACGCCGCCGCCGTGCATCGAGGGCGAGCGGGCCTTGTCGAGCACCCACGTGTCCTCCGGCATGCCGACGGCGTCCATGGCGTCGACCAGCACCTCGTGGCACATCCAGAGCGCCCAGCTCCAGCCCATCGGGAGGGCGGCGAAGCAGGGCCAGATGATCTCGTCCTCCGCGACCGGGACGCGCCGGCCCAGAGCGTCGTCGTAGATCGTCGAGATCCCGAGCTCGCCGGCCGAGACCTCCACGTCGAAGCACATCCAGCAGCCCCAGGAGGGATCGCTGAACTGGTAGAAGCCGTCCTGCAAGTCGACCGAGCCCCCGCACAGCGAGTCGAAGCAGCCGTCGAACTCGGCCAAGTCCTCGGGCGACGCGTCGACCGCGTCGAGGAGGTTAATGGACCCGAGCGCCTCGCCGGACGCCAGAGTCGTGCGAGGCGGCAGCCGATGCAACTGGTTGGCCTGGCGTGCATCAACGACCAGGCGGATATCCCCGTTCTTCTCGGCCACGAAGAACGTGCTGACGCAGGCCCTCCGGCGGCGGCGGCCGCCCACCAACCCCCGTCGCGCCATCCTGGCCAAGAAGTCGACCAGGCGCGACCAGTTGGCCTTCGTCCGAGGGTTGAGGAGCGGGCCCCAGTAGGGCTCGACGATCTCCTCGTCCGGGGCGATGTCCGCGGACGGCCGCACCACCTCCGAATCAAAACTGTCCAGGACCTCGGTCACGTGGGGCGGGGCGACGTCGCGCAGCTGGACTGGGACGTCGGAGGTCCTGAAGATGTTGAGCTTGTCAGGGTCGTAGTCCTGGCGGGTCGAGCACTCGCCTGCACCACTACGCAGATCTTTGCAGCGAAGGAGCTCCTGAAGGGCTCCAGCG